AACCCTTAGGAGCTGTAGAGAGTACAACACATTAATTCTGGAAAAGAGCATGAGTCCAGGAGCACCTTAAAGACTAACGAAATTTGTGGCAAAATTTTGTATCTGAAGAAGAGACCAGTGGCTTACAAAAGCTCATGCCCTGCCACAAATTTTGTTAGTTTTTAAGGTGCTCCTGGACTCTTGCTCTTTTGTACTGCTACAAGCCGACTAACACGGCTACCCATCTTGATTAATTCTGAAGAGTGATAATATTGTAAGACTGAAGACTTTGCAACTTATCGCGTTTCCATGCTGTGTCGTATTCTATCTCATGTAAAACCAAGCCACTAAGGGTGTATTTAGATCAGGATTCTACAATCTTGTTGAGCCTCTTGGCTTTTGAGGTGTTCTGAGAATGAGGATCTGGCATCACCACAAAATGGCTGCAACAGAGGCTGGGGCCAATCACAAAATGTTCAGAAGATCTACTTCAGGCAGCCTCCTATAATGGAGGCAGCTATTTCTAAATGGGTGTTTCCTGCAGACACAAAAGTGATGGTTTCTTGGTTCTTCTGAAGAACAACAACAAGAAGAGAAGAGATTGGATTTATACCCCGCCCTTCACTACCCAAAGGTGTTTCAGAGCAGCTTACAAACTCCTTTCCCTTCCCCTCCCCACAACAGACACCCTGTGAGGTAGGTGAGGCTGAGAGAGCTCTGACAGAAACTGCTGTTTTTCAAGAACAGCTCTTATCAGAACTATGACTTGCCCAAGGTCATCCAGCCAGGTGCAAGTGGAGGAGTGGGGAATCAAACCCGGTTCTCCCCGATTAGAGTCCACGCACTTAACCACTACACCAAACTAGCTCTCCTGCTCCAACAAAGTTGGTAGAAAACCAGGACTGGCTATTTGCTCTGAGAGAGAAGCAAACTTGCATCAGGAAACCTACTGACAGGCATCATGGCATTCACGAGCACCATGTTTGGGATCACTAGTCTCAGTTACATACTTTGAGTGGTAAGCCTCTTGTGGATCTGTGCTTACCCCTTTCTGACCAGAAGTACAACTATCCTCAGAAGACCAAGCTCAAGAGCAGCAGGTTGTCCCTTTCTCCAGCAGAATGCAGCCCCAATTATCTGGTTCACATAGCTATCATGGAGACTCCTTTCTCCCATCCCTCCCAGACCGCTGTAGAGAATACTGTTCGGCTGTGATAATGATGTGGACATACACATACAGACCCCAGTTACAGTAGTGCTACAAGTTTTAAAAACACAGAGACTGTTAAACATTTATTCAGTGTTTTTAAAAAGTATAGATGCCTTCCCTTTTATTTTTAAAAAGTCAAATACCTGCCTGAAATGGGGTCCCAGAATGCCAGTGGTACAACCTGATCCTTAGCATACCCTTCACTCTCTGAAATCAGCAGACCAATTTCACCCAGTCAAAAAGTGCTATAAAATCAGTAGTGCATGAAGGATCCACCCACATCCTTTTGTAGAGTTCTAGAGAACTCAAAACATTTGCACACTGTGTTGGGTTATTTTTGGCTGGTAGAGAAGGTACAGGTAGGCATTCCCACAATAAAATGGGCCCACCCAGCACATGACTCCTGACTCAAAGATCTTTGAACATAACTGCTTTCTGGTGACTCTTGTATTCATTGAATGAACAGCAATGTCCAAACTCACAAATACCTGCATTCTAACATATAAGGGCCAAATTATAGATTCAGATTTTGAGCTGGGGGAATGGCTTGGGGAAAAAATAAAGGAGAGCCCAAGTGGGCTCAGAATGCCACCATGGGGGGGGGGGTTTCTGCCTTGCCCTCCAAGTCATGTTCTAAGGTGGAAATGGTGCTGGGGGAGTTATTTCCCTGTTTTTGCTGCTCCCCATGGAATATTCTGTGCGCATGGAGCAGCAAAAACAGGGAAATAACTTCCCTCCAGTGCTGTTTCCACATGGGAAAATGGTTTGATGGGACGGAAGGTTGGGGCCCTTCCTCCTGCTCTGGTAGTATTCTGAGCCCATTTAGCACCTCTTTATTTTTTCCAAGCTATTTCCCACAACTTCAGAGAACTAGGATCCAACTTGTAGCCTGGCTTTACTATGGCTGTGTCAAGGCAGGCAGGTAATATGGATGATGTGGTGCAATCTAACTCTGCTAATCTCTAGTAACGTGGTATGACAGACCCCTGTCTCTTTCCTAACACCCAGGCAGAATTTTCCCACCAAAAATATTTTAGTCCCCCTCTGTAACTGAGTTCCCCTCTAGTAGTGTGTATTTCTTCTTTGTTTGATAAGCTTAAATTGTCCCGCCCTGTCACAGATATTTGTTTAGGCTTTGGACCCAGTACAGGAACTTGAAAAAAATGTAGGAGCTGTCCTGTTTTATAAACCATTGTGAAATGGCACTTGAGGCAGATTAACTTTCAAAAACAAAATAAAGATTTTATTAAACAGGCAGGGAATATATAAATACAAGGATTCAAGTTATAGAGCTTGCTGAGATAAAACTTTCTAATGTATATAGAATTGAGGTTTTTGAACATAAAGGAGAGTGTTGTTGAAGCTTAATTTCTGAGATTCAAATTCTTTTCAGCAAGAGGTTTTTTGCTTATTATATATTTTAGCTGTTACACAGAATTTTGAATACAGTTTCTTAGAGAAGAGCTTTGTCTTAATGATTCTAGGTTTGTCCCTTCAGAGTTCTAGGTTTTCCCTTTAGATATTATAGCTTTCCAGCAACTCTTGAGGTGTCTAAGCTCTTCCCTTTTACCACAGACCAGGGTTCTCAACCCCTTTCTCTGGCAGGAAGTTATTCTCCTTGTCCCTAAGAAGCAATAACTCCTTTTACTATTTGACTTGTATGGGAGTTCTCTCTAACTACCCAGACCCCCTGCCAAATCCTTCTCCAGTATTTGTTGTAAGTATAAAGCTGTTTGTAGCTTTCTTGACTGAGAATCTAAATTCTCCCTCAGAGTAGTTCTAATATATTTAATATATTATTCTCTCTATAGAAGTACTTTTCTGACAATTCCCTGACAGAAATCACTGACTCCTAAAGTCTCTTCCTTCAGAAGCCAAATCCTTTGGCTACTAATCCAGACATTAGATTTCAGACCAAGACCAAAAGTGTCTCAAAAGGTGACTGACTCTTTTCCTTCCAGATCAGCTGTTTTGTTTCCTCTCTCAGCTGATGCTGGCCAGTAAGAAGAGCAACCAATCACATAAGCTTTTCTCTCCAGGGATGATTAACTCTTGAACTCCCTGACTCTCTGACACAAGCAGCATTTCAAAAACCAGCTTTTCTTTGCAATCTGTCACATGTGGCTATCACAAACATCAAGCAAAAACCTGAATATGTGACATCATGCACTTGCCAGAAGGTAATCATTCACTATCATCCTACTGGAGTTGCCAGGTCCCCCAGCCATCAGGAGGGAAAGGGGGGGTAGGGTTGCCAGGTCGAGGTTGGGAAACTCTTCGAGATTTGGGGATGGAGGTGGGGGAGGACAGGGACCTCAATGGGATACAGTGCCATAGAGTCTCTCCTCCAAAGTATCCATTTTCTCCAGGGGAACTGATCTCTGTAGTCTGGAGATGAGCAGTAATTCTGAGGGATCCCCAGGTCCCACCTGAAGGCTGGAATCTCTAATCCTATCAGGTGTGGAATTATCTTATTCTTAAGTATCCATATTTATTTATTCTTTCATTCCAGTGGTACAGTCTCAAGGAAAGTTTCAAGGGCAGATGATTTTTTTAAAAAAAATACAAATAAATGGTAGACAACATTTTGCCTCAGAATTTTCAGATATATTTCATGAGCTATAAACAAGTTTTTCAATCACAAAAAGTGTGCATTTAAATCCTTAGCAATTTATTTATTCTTTCATTCCAGTGGTACACTCTCAAGGAAAGTTTCAAGGGCGGATGATTTTTTTTAAAAAACTACAAATAAACCGTAGACAACATTTCGCCTCAGAATTTTCAGACATATTTCATGAGCTGTAAACAAGTTTTTCAATTACAAAAAGTGTGCATTTAAATCCTTAGCAGTCTTTTGAAAGATTATCTTGCCATTCCTGAACACTTTACCAAGAAAAGTTATTCCTCCAGTACTTTGCTGAAGGGAAAAAACCTCAACCCACAATTGTTATGTTGCTAGGAATTATTATAAGACTATCATAAATGTCTCCTTTTCACTTGAGAATAAGAGAAATGTGAATAGAAAACCATCATCCACATCTTTATGTCTGTATGTTCCCTTCTGGTTTTAATATAGATCAACAACCAATGAATAAAAGTCTATTTAAACTCTAGTCAAAGCCACTTCTTGAACACCAGCCACTTGCTTCTCAGCCATTCAATACATAACTACATTAAGAATGATATTTCTTCCAAATAGCAAGTGCAAGTCTTTCTGGAAGACTTGCATATTTTCTAAGCAACACAGAAACAAAAGCAAAGCCTTTGATCAAATTTGAAGTGTATGTAGAAAACAATCAGATATGCAACTTCAGATGACAGACAAACAAACAGCAGATTGATCCCACGGTGGAAGAAAGCGGTGGATAAATGGATAATGTAATAGGCAAAAGATTTATATGATCTGAAGATAAACCAGAGTATTAAAAAAGTGGATAATGTAGACTCAGCTACATTGAGTAGCATCACCCCAGGAGTATTCCTCTGCTTTGAAACAATTCCTGCACATCCCCATCTTTTAATACTACCTCACTTCTGCACCTATTCAACATGGATTTGAATTTATACAACTATCAACAGTAGACACGTTTAACTTACCTGCACAATTGTTTTGAGGAGTACTCTATTATTTTTTAAAATTGCATTATTAACGCTTTTTTTTTAATGTGAACACTTTTTTAACATGAGTATTTAAACAGTAAATAGATCTCCACAACTATCAGAAGTTGTCAGCACCCTTGTGGACTACCAACACATGGAACAAAGAAAAGATGTGGCCTCAGGCTCTCTGGAGCCCAAACTGCAGACTTACCTTTTTCAACTTGCCACTCTTGGTCCCCACAAACACCACACTGTAGTCATTGTAGACATAGGAAGTGACAGAAGTCATCCGATCTCTGCTGGAAGTGTAAAGAGTCACTCCCTCTACTGGTACGGAGCCTCCAAGTGGCTGGTTAATGTCCAACCCACAGAAGTTATCATCTATTGGGACTGGCTGTAAGGGGGGAAAAACATATAGGTGAGTACAGAGTGAAGGAGTATGTTTTTTAACTCTCCTAGGCAATGTCTGGTTGACATATAAACATTTTGATCATTTCAACATAAAGTAGCATTTTGAAATTTTAGGCCGGCAGCAACTATATTTTTTTTCTGTATTTGTTTTGTTTTGGAATCACTTTGAAACAAACCATGGAGACTCAGTTCACTGTATCATTCTTGCATCATATTTTACACGTCAATTTGACAATGCATACCCATCAACATACCAGTTTTACTCATGGTCCTTGTAAAAGAGTTGTGACTTGAACAGCTGTGTTACAAGAGGACCCTTGGTATTTCCACACTAACAGGAAAATCTTGCATCTCACTCCTTGGATATAATCATACACTTGGGTTTGTCCACCCGATCCTTAAAATCACACACCACTGCCAACTGCTCTTGTTTTCTTTTGTATGATTCAGTCTGTTAGGAGAACAATCCTATATCCAGCTCAAAGAAGATCTAGCTGAGAGAGGGATGGCCTGGTGCAGAGAATTTCAGGGAAAAGCCCTCACCGTTTCTCTTTTCTTAAAAATGCCCATTCATGTGTTTATGCTGATTCATTTAAACCTATGCAGAGTTCTCATCCCTGGTGTTTTAAAAACTACCTTTACAAAGATGGCAAACAAACAAATCAGATATTTTAAAACAATGTGGCAACTCCACTATCAGCTGATAGAGCACCTTAATACCAAAAGCACTTAGTACCAAGTAATGGTCAGAAATCCAGTCAATTTACTCTGCTTATCCTCTGCCAAAGGGAGACTTCATTCTTGCTGCTGTGGAATGTCTGCACAAAACCAGGGCAGGTCAGCAATTGTGTGGACCCCATCTTTGCCATCCTGTCTTGTTTGGCTGAAGCCTCTACTTTGAAATCCTGTAGTTAAGTGCATGGTGCAAACTTAGAGTTATTCAAGGAACTGCAGAAAGTTGGTCCGGGGTGGGTGACTAATTCCACGTCATGGTTTTAACGCATTGTTGTTGTTTTACTTAGTAATTATTTATTTTTACGTCTCCAGTGCCTGCTGTAAGACCCTTCTGGCCAACGCCGCCTCTGTCGAGGCTGCTTGGTCTATCCTATAGAGTCTCCCACATGTGGGGGAAAAGACTTCCAGGTCATCTCTCAGCAAATATCTTCTGCAGTGTCTCGTGTGGAAAAGACTGCTACGTTGCTGTTGGCCTCAGGGAACATGACTTTCTGCCCCTCGTCAACTTTGGAAATACACTGTTTGATCCAATAGGCCAGTGTGTCCCTGGGGGACTTTTTGTCTTAATTGGGAGTCCCATATGCCTCGAGCAACGCGTCTGACTGCTGAAATACAGCCGTCCTGTCAAGGAATAAGGCACTGTGGTTTTATTTTTAATTCTTCTTGTTCCATAATCCTTGGAACTCACTGCTACTGTATTCTGTTCCATTATCTGTAGGGAACACTTCTTATGTTCAATTCTTCTTGTTCCGTAATCTTTGGAACTCACTGCTACTGTATTCTGTTCCATTATCTGTAGGGAACACTTCTGGAACTTTTCCAAACTTATTTTTCACAGATGCCGTGCAAGTTTTGAAGTCATCAAAAACTTGATCTTTGCTTTTGATTAAGTAGACAAAAACATATCTGGATTTAGCTTCCCTAAAGGTTAGAAGGTATCTGCTTCCACCAGCTTTGGGAGATGTGGAAGGCCGAGTGAGACGGAGTCATTCTGGAGGATGCAAACTCCTTCCTCGCCCATAGTGCAGCCATTTCGGAGATCCTTCAGGCTGCGGTTGCCACAATGAGAAATGACCTTCTATGACATAGGGCAGAGTTTGGTCGTCCACCCGTGTTCGAACTGTGGCGTGAGGATCTCACGTCTGGAACGAGTGATGGGCTGGAGGAGCCAGCTGAATAACACTCTTCAATATTTTGTAACCTCCCAGCTCATGGACATCGTCCTCCGTGTCTGGAATCCCGGACCTGCTTGTATGGGTTCCACTTGCCGTTTTAACGGTTTTGGCCTATGAACCTGTCGCCAGCCCTCGGCTGCCTTCCTTGTCTGTGGCACACACACTCACACAAATGCAAACATCCCCCCCCCAAAAAACTAATCACTTCCTCCTGCCTTCCTTAGTCAGCAAGAGAGAATAAATGATGCTGTCCTTCCTCCGCAAGCACTTAGAGCACTTTTGTAAATGGAAAGCCTTGAAGAGCAAATGAATGGTATTTATGCTGACTGGACCCAAGCAGGATTCCTGCCTAATTGCAGACAAGCAAAAGAACCTCGTGGTCTCGCTACTGAAAACCCCAGTTTCCACCGGCTGCATTTATAAAGCACCTTAAATTGGTCACCACAAATTTGTTTATTTCCTCTGAAGCTACAGATAACCTTGATTTTGGCAGCAATCCTGAGATCCTTAAATTGGTCACCACAAATTTGTTTAGTACAGATAACCTTGATTTTGGCAACAATCCTGAGGTAGCTTTTCTGGGACTATGCCCCACTGAATAACATGGGATTTACTCCTGAACAGACTTACTGCCTATGATTGCCTCCTTTGACATGAAAAAAGAGGTTTCTCGGTTCTTCTGTAACTACTCAAATGGGACAGCTACATCAATCAAGAACAAAGAGGAGGACTCTAATTGTCATTAATCTCTGAGGCTCATTTGGATTGAAGCCTTCCTGCTGGCATTTTTTCCATGTTTGGCATCAGACTGGGCAGAAACGGAACCCTTCAATTCAAATGCTTCATATTACTGGCTTCTATTACCATAATAACAGAATGATTGTTCATTAAAGAATTCACCTTTCCATCATGATACATGAATCAATTAGGCTCCTCATTCTGACACACAGGGAACAAAGGAGGAAACAACGACACTTTACACAATAGCATTTATAAGTGAAAACTGTTTTCCAGACAATGCCTTCCAGATAACCTGCTGATGTTGACAGATCAGCACTGGTGCTTTTATTTTACAGCAGGGTGAGCCAATAACTGAGTTATTACTTCAACCGGCTTGTTTAAAAATAACCATCAAGTGGTATCCACAAAGCCAAGAAACAAGTTCTTGGATCATAGAATGCTTATGTTCCCCATACTTTCCTCTCAAGGAATGTTAACTAAAATAGTACTATGAACATTCTTACCGCCTTGGTACACTGAACATCTTTCCCCAGTAGCCAGTTGAGTTCCAGGTTGCCTTCCCCCTGGTAGCAAGACTGCAGGCGGTCCTTAATTTGGGCATTGATTGCACGGATGGGGAAGATGCAAAGAGCTGAGTCATCAGGGGGCTGGTGATACTGTTTCTGCCCTTTGGAGAAGATGGCAAAAAGGACATCATCCTGGCCAGTGATATTGAGAGACCTGGCCAGCACCTCCCCTGGCTTAGAAAGGAAGGCAGCCTGTAGGAGTCGATATTCCACATCACCCTTGACACAGCCAAAAGGCAGAGATACATAAGAGTGGAACTTGGGGTCATCCTTGCAGAGACGCACAATTCGAGATGTGTAGAAGAGATCACTGGCTGAGTTGATAGACACTCCCTCGGGTGTCTCTGGTTGGACAGTCAGAAAATAGACAAAATTGCCACTAGCAAATCCATAGATGTAGAAGATATCAAAGTGTGAGACCAGGGCCAGTGTGTCCGAGGGGATTTTGATGAGAGATGAAACAAAGTCACTGTGGAGCTCATAATCCAACATAGCAGATGATTCTGGGTCACGTGGCAGCTTGCGGCTGGAGAGAGTGGGAAAGTAATCCTGCTTGCCATCCACTGCAGTACCAATGAATAGCTTCCCATCCTCGCCCTCAGAACGAACTATAACTCCATACATAGTGCCAGTCTGGTTAACGCTGGAAAGATAGTGCTCTTTTTTGTGAGACGGTTCCACCAGGATGAAAAGATCATCCAGTCGCAGAAGTTTGCATACTCCCTGGTAGAGGCTTCCACAGGCTAACAACCTATTTTCAGAGTAGTCAATGATCAGCAGCTTGTTGACATTGTTGGTGAGAGTCAGAATCTCACTGCAGGGTTGCACTATGAGTGGTGGGTAGCAAGACTTGTTGTCTTCCTCTGGTCCTGTCTTGTGAGCTACCAAGATGGTCAAGTTTCCAGAAAGCTTGTAAACCCGATTGATGGCTCCCACATAGACTGCTCCGGTGGCCCGATGGACAGTCAAGTGATTGAAAGTCCAGTCACGGTTCTCAGAATGAAAAGTATTGTAAATGGAAGTGCTTGCAGCATTTCTTGAAAAGGAAACCAAGAAAAGAAACACCAAGGCCACTGACCAGCCATCGGAGTCCCATATCTGAGGCCAGATCTTTCTCTGTTCCATCCTGCAGGGGGGAGTGAAGAGGCAACAGAATGTGACCCTCAGAACTCCCTGTGTGTGTGTCTCTTGCTGCAGCGGTGTGTCTCACATGGTTCTACAAAAATAAAAACACATGCACAGGAGAAAAGATTAGACCAGAAGCATCCTGTAGATACAATTCAAGCAGGCTTTTTTCATTAAAGACTCCTTGAGATAAAATAAGGACATCTCTATGCCCATGAAGAATAAGCACAGTTCCCATTTGGGTAAACAGTGAAGGCTTTAGCACTCTGTTCCGCCTCTGTGCATTAATTGTTACACAGTTTAACTGCTCATAATATGCTCTGAGTCATGAGTTCATTCGGCTGCAGGAGGGAATAATCAATCTCAGCCAAAAGACAAGTGTTTTGCAGACAGTTCACCTACCCAGTCATCAGATCTAACAACCTTGGCTAGAGGGGCTTATTTGCAAGGTGTTGCATTGACAGGTGAGTAAGAGGGGTTTCCTGCCCATGAAATCCATAGGGGTTACAATTTAATTAAAGAGAAAAATCTCAGCAGAGAGAGCTCACATGTCAGCAGCACCTCCTGTTTCTGCACGCCTCCCATTCAGCGGCAACTTGGTGCCTTAGGCAGTGTCTGCACCTTCTGTAATTGACGAGTCCATAGAGAGTGGGTTGTGTGCCAGCGCTGTACGAACTTATACAATCTGTATCAAGTGGCAGGTCATATATGTATCCGTCACTCACAGATGTGCAGCCACAATGTAGAATCTTGACCTCAGACTGAAGGCAAAGAGTTCTACAGTATTATAAAAACTGTGGCTGCAATAATCTTTTCTGGGAGTAAAAACCTTATTGACTAAAATGAAACTTCTGAGGAGACCTGCTTAGATTGCTCAACTATTGTATCATGAGATTTCATTAACAACAACCTACTTCGGCACATCTGATACAGTACAGTTTACTTGTACAATCTGGCCACCTTGGTTTGCATGTGGTATGAAATGGTGTTGATGAGGAATGCCTACTTTGCAAGGTACCATGTGGCCTTTGTATTGCTGTTTTCACATGGAGTAGCAAGTAGAGAGAAGAGGAGACATGGCCCTGGCATTTTACCAGTTTTCTATTTATTGTACAAGAGGAGCAGTGCAGGGAGAACTATACTGATTAAGGAGATTTGGACAAGATATTATTTAACATCCTGATTACATAAAAGACTAACCTCCAGTCTGCACATATCTGGCTATGAAATGCACATGAACATCACAAAGAAATAAGAGATACATTTGAGCACATCTTTTTGGATATCAAAGCCAAGCAACTTAAATTAGACCCAAGCATGCAAACTTTACTCTTCCCACTTGCTCATGCCTACACAACTACTGACATTTGTCCCCCTTCGGTGTGCCCCACCTTTGCAGCTGCTGTGGCTGAGCCCAAGCAGTTGTACTATGGCCGTCTGGTAGCCAGTCTTCTTCCATTCAGTCCTCAGATCAGATACAAAAGCCATCCAGATCAAGAATAGAACACTGCTACTGTACCAGAGGAGACAGAAAAGACTGATGCACTATCTGCAGGGCTGCACTCAAGAAAATATCGGTATCATCCAAGAGATGAGCCATCTCTACCAGTTAGCATTTTGAGGCTCTTAAGGTACTTCCCTAATCTCTCTTCCATGAATCTTTAATGTTTCTCAAATTCAGTGGCATGCCAGACTTACATTTCTCAGAAACATTAGGCTGAAGAACATTTGAGTCAGGAAAATCAAATGAAAAGACAGGAAATGGGGATGAACCAACTGAGCAATGCTCGGTTTCCCTTGGAAAAAGAGAGTGGAGGCTCTCCCTGCTCCCTGCCTCCAGTAAGAATGAAGCCCTTTCTTCTGATGCCATTTACCCCTTTTGTAAAGAATTATTTCTGGGTTTCTGTCAGTTACATAACATATTGCATCACACACTGCACTGAAGCTTGTTGAATCTCCACCTCCACCTCTCTGTTCTGCTATCAGAGGCTCACCCTGACTAAGACTGGATCAACCCCTGCTCTTTGCTGTAACAGCAGAGCAGCCTTTGATTGGGTTTGGCAGGCAGCAGCTGTACATTCCTTTCAACATTGGCTTGCAGCCCCCCCCCCTTATTTGTACGCTGGCCATCAGCTGCACAGAGTACCTGTCTGAAAGAACAATCATTGCAAAGGGGTCGAGTTCAGCAGCTGCTCTTATTCTTTACTACGAAAGCACTCACTGGATTGGGAAAGCGTTATTGCCACAAGGTCTTCAATTGCTACAGTTTTCACTCCGGTGTTGCTGAACAACTAGGTACCACAGTTAAGTCCTCTGATTTGGTATAGTGGTACTCACAATACTTATTTGTGGCAACATGCTACATGTTACACTGGACTTCCTGCAGCAAACACACATAGTCAGGAAGTAATACATGTACATGTACACAATGCACACATCTTTAAATAGCTGTGAACTGGTGTCTGGTAATCTGGATGAAAAGTTTACTTCTCACTTTACACGTGTGCTGTAGAAAACTCTAATACAGCATTAGTCAAGTATTTCTTGCAACAATCATTACACATGACACACTGCCAAAAAGAAGCCATTATCCCTACAGCTGCATAGGCACTCTAGCAGAGAATTGATCTTAAGCAGATTTGATGCTGAATTCTATTGCAGGTGGAATTTGAAGCCAACGTGGAAGAGATTCAGGATTTAACAGAATAAATTACTCCATCTTTGTTTCAAAGGCTTTTTTTCCCCCAAACAATTTTTATTCTTTTTCAAAAGGAATACAGAATTCAACATTATAATACACAAATATAGGTTGCTTCACTTAGAGAAAAAAAAGAATACTATAACATTTCTATCATATAACAACTTACATTCTTTCGGAATACAGAATACACCATACATGCTCCTAACAAAGCCTCAGTTACATACTGTAATTATGTCATGGTACTAGGGTTGTCAGCACCAGGTTCGGAAATACCTGGTGATTTGGGGGCTGCAGCCTAACAAGGTAGGGTTTGGCCAGGGGAGGGACTTCCATGGGGTACAATGCCATAGAGCCCTCTTCTAAAGCAGTCATTTTCTCCAGGTAAGCTGATCTCTGTTTCCCGGAGATCAGTTGTAATCCCAGTAGATCTCCACCTGGAAGGTGACAACCCTTCATGGCACCACACAGTACCTCACAGTAAAATTCTAATACACGGAAGCCTAGTGAGGCCCTCCAGCACTGGAAAAGCCCTAGAACTCCCCCAAATCCAGGTAGTTAATTGATAAAAATGGAACATCTGTACTTTGCTTGGTAACTTTAATTCTATTAAAGAACTGTAGCCTCTGATAAAATTACAATCCTCGGAATTCCTTGAAATTAAATAACTGTAACGTTTGCCATGTACGAATACATGGCCTCAGTACCAGTTCAGCACATTTTGCCACCCCTAAGAGTCCTCCTCCCTGTGCAACCTTTTTGGGACCCTGGTGGTGATGGAGAGAACACACCTCCTCCTATGCACACCCCTGCATGTTTCTTGAAAGAATGAAGAGCTGATTCTGCCTGGCTGGAATTCAGCACGTTGCAAAAGTTCAACTGGGATTTTTATTTTTATTTTTTTAATTTTTTTGGCAACTACTGCTGGTTGTAATGGTTCTATGGTACAGGCGTGTGGCGCCAATGCTTTATAGAATCCTCAGAAGGACTAGTGCTAAACAGAATGATATAAACAAGGACAATGGCAAAGCACTGGAGCAGGACCTTTTAAAGATCTTTTCTCCTATTCCTCTCTTTCATTTACACAATCAAATGTCAAGCACAATTAGGAGTTATTAAAAGCCCTTTTAAAAAAGTATTGTCATTCTCTCTGAAATGACCATCCTCTCCTGGTCTTCAAGCCGGTTGAGGAAGAAAAAGGATGAAATGCTTTATGTTTCATAATCTCTTTTCCACCTCAGAGCTTGCCACTTACCTGAAACACTCCAGAATGCAGCTACTACACAACACTATTTACAGGACAAATTGTCGCTAAGCGAGAATCAGAATTTCTTTTAACTTAATCCTGTGAACATACGTTAATAAAATTGCTCCAAAAAGCTTATTATCCAGATGCCAGTTCCAATATGATCTCATATTCCTGAGAGCTGCTTTTTAATGCAATATAAATAACTTCCAGCTATGTGGAACAGTATGGTTAGAGAGCATCAGGGATTAGAAGTTTTTGTTCAGTGATTATTGCCATTGTATAAACTAGAGTCCCCAGATTGTGTAATTCTTGCTTTGGGCACAAGCAGTCCATTCCTGTTCCCAGTTTTCTCTGTAATTTATAGAAAGTTATCTTTCTGTAAGCACCTCAGCTGCATTTTACAGGTGAGAACTTAACCCAACAGAAAATCACACCAAATCCGTGAACAGAGCACACAAGAATAAAACACAGTTCCAGTGTCTCCTTCCATAATGACATCCATATTTTCTCGAAGTGAGCAGCTAGTGGTAAGGAATGTGGGGAGTGGGAAAAAAGAGATATGTTTTTATCAATGTTAAGACAAAGTGACTTTTCTTACGGGAAGAGCCTTAAATTTGCAAGAGAGAGGAAACATGATTCTTAAGAACCCAACGATGAATGTCATCTCTGATCTGCTCAAGCATATTTTCCCTACTTGAACTACACAATCATGGCATGAAGTTGAGGATACTCTCCTTTTGCTTGTTCCAAGAAACTGGTATACATACAGTAAAATGCTAAGTAAAATTACAGCTTTCTGAAGGGCCAGATTTCCTCTTACCTGTAGCATGAGCCAGATTATGTTCTCCTGACCCTACTACCCCCCCCTTTTTATTTTGCAGACAGAAGTGCTCTGAGGCCCAATTAAGTTCAGGAGCATGACACAGGGGGAGGCATTGCTTCAGCCTTCCCTCCGTCATCATTTTCCCAAACAAGAACAGCAATGGGGGGATATTTAACCCATGTTGCAGACAGAGCCCCAGAGCAAGGTTTAGTCTCCTTTGGTCTGGGGAA